TCTAAAAAAAATTAATGGATGTTTTGCTAAATTTGTGAGATAAAATAATGCCCCTATTATTGTCATTTAAATAGTTGAAAAAATAAATAGTTGTATCTTCTGTACATATTGTAATTGGTCTGACACATATGATCGAAACCAGGTTAACAGACGATCACCGATGCCTGAGTTTTTAAGTTTTTTTGCAAAAGAATGCCATGGTCTACTGTGTCAAAGGCCTTGGCAAAATCAAGGAAAATAGCTCCACTTAGGTCTCCTTGTTCCATGCCAATTTGGATATCATTGCAAACTTTTAAGAGGGCATCTGAAGTTGAGTGATTTGGATGAAATCCTGATTGATCAGGGGTTAGATTATTATTATTATTGGTATTAATATAGCGCCAGCTTATTCCGCAGCGCTTTACAATAAAAGCGTATTTTACCAAATAAGGCAATAACAAAGTGGAACAGGAACAATAGGTAGTTGAGGACCCTGCTCAAACGAGCTTACAGTCTAGAGGAGGTGAGGTATAAAGACACAATAGGAAGGGCATTGAGGGAGACGGCAAATAGACATTGTGGGAAAGTAGCAGAACTGGAGGTGAGAGTGGACTGTACCCTTTAGGAGAGAGCAAGAGGAAGGTTTGAGAGATAGAAGTTACTCTTGGATGCCATAAGCAATCTTAAAAAGATGTGTTTTGAGGGATTTCTTAAAGGATTGAAGCCTAAGGGAGAGCCTGACAGAGGTAGACAGGCTGTTCCAAAGGAAAGAAGACACCCGTGAGAAGTCTTGCAGGCGTGAATTTGCAGTAAGGGTGCGAGCAGCAGACAGGAGAAGGTCACCAGTAGAGTGGAGAGACAGAGAGAGAGGGCATACCTATGAATCAGTGAATAAATTTATAATTTTAATGTTGATAATATTCACATAGTTGCTTGTGGATGGATTTTTACAAGATTTTTGACAGTACTGGGAGCAAAGATATCAGGTGATAGTTAGATACCAAAGTATCGTCACCACTTTTATGGATAGGTACTACTTTTGCAGTCTTCCGAAGTTTGGTTATGTATCCAGACACCAGGAATTCATTGGCAGGTTTAGCCATTGCTTCAGCAACATTGCTGGGATTTGGTCCACACTGGTTTTTCATTTTTAAATTATTAAGATGTTTATTAATGACACAAACTAAAAGCTAATAGTGACATTTAGACATAGACTATAAGAGTAGTGTTAAGGAAGTTCCAATTAAATATTCTAATATATGGTGTGTTCAAACTAATATATGGTGTGTTCAAATAAAGTTAACTATGTAACACAGAACTATTAAAAAAATATGAAAACCCATGCCTTTATAATAATGTATATAGTCATTGTGTAACAGAGAGATATGCTATTAAATATGTTATACTAAATGTCTGGTACAAACATGCTCATTAAAGATTATGAGTTGGTGATTTTGCAATGTTGGAACATTGCAGTTTTGTGCAGACACGCCATCTGTTATTTTCTTACTGTCACATTCCAAGAAATAATCCCATTATACATGATTGAATGCACCTTTGTAGCTTTCAGGTATCTGGCTTCGTTTTATTAAATATGGTAAAAGCAAGTATTACATTGTACACATCGTAATATTGATTGTGTAGTTTCATCAATTCTAAACTTAAATTGTTGACTATAACCACTTACAATGTGCATTAGTTCTATCAGCATTTCTCTACAATGCATGTTTAATTCTTCACTGTCAAGTCTATGTTGCCTGTTTAAGGTATATGACACACACAAACATATACACACACTGATTTTCTCACTTCTCCTGGATGGTATATGTAAAGGATCCTTCTATTCGTGCAGCGATGATCCTTGCAGCTTCTCCCGAAATCCAGCTGAAACGAAGTGATTTTAACTCCCAATCCCCCAAAAATGAGTCGAGACTTCATGAAGGGGTAAAACGATCTGATTTACTGTGGGCTACCTGCCCGGTATTTATGCAGGTCTCCCAACTGGTGGACACTCCCCTAGGGGACCAGATGGAAGACTGGGACAAAAGTATCACAGTAGCCAATCACAGTGGCTATAGCATAAGCACTCCCCTTTTACATAAATCACTCCCTCTTTTCCATCCTGGAGATAATTAACTTAAGGTAGCAAAGAGAGCCTTAATTATCTCCAGGTAGAAAGAAACATGGCTTTTCTTATTTTAGCAAAACAGCATAAAAATCTATAACTTTCCTTTTATATAACATAAACTTTAAGTTCCACATATCCCCAGATAGCTTGGATCTGAGTGCATATTCTAGGCGAATAGCGCTCAGATCCCACCAACACAGTTCTCAGAAACGTCGACTGAAGTTTGGCTTTCGCCAGCCGTTCGTGTGTTTGTAGCCGACTACAAGTTCCATACTGTAGCTATCTGGGGTCGGTCACTTTTGCATACTTCCAGCGCACGAATGAAGTAGTATCTCCTTCATTTGTGTGTTTTTCCACCGTACGAACGAGGATTTGAAGAGGTAGCAGCGGTGTTCGACAAAATAAGTAGCCGAAATTAGTTGCAGGGAATCCTCGCCTTTTACCGCTGAGCGTTCGACAATACAAAATGGCGATTGCCACGTGTTCGGTAAACGAACGCAGACCACCAGCTATTCCCCAATTAGTCTGTGGTTAACCGCAACAGTCTGGGTGGTTAATAGGCGCCACACAACCTCAGTGGGAGGTCGGGTGGTTCGGTAGTTCAATCGCTTTTCTCGCTATTTGCACGAAATCCCGCTGTAATCATCCAAATAACCGAACAGGCTGGTTTGCATGGTCTGTTTAATAAGGGATTTCGTTACAGTATATATTCCTCATTCTTGGGTCCTCTACCAGAGGCCTGGGAGTGTAGGAAAGTAGATGTTCTAGAGATGTTTGTTTGTCACACCAGAGTTCCAATAATCAAATCAAATTGTCTTATAGCCAAAATGTGTATCTATTCAAACATACACACCATTTGAAAATAACATAAAGTCTTTGCACACATCTGGACAGATTATTAAACACATAATACCGTGGATACCATGAAATATGTGACAATTATAGAAAAGGGATGTGATGACCATTGATATAAAATGGACATCTGTAACTAAATAAATAGGTTCTCTCAGTTCATGTTTTGGAAAGAAGTCTGAAATTATATTATTTGCAACTAATACAACGATAACATTCATATCACAAAAATGAAATCCTACAAAACATAAAATATTTTAAAGTACATTAAAATTTTTCAGGGAGTCTGAGAGTATCTACGGAGCTGTTCCTAGAACTGCACTCTTCTGGAGAGCGATTTCAGATGTTACACCTGGAATCTGTATGCTTCCTGTGCCATTATCGTAACATTAGCACCTGTCAAGGAGTGAGATAAGGCACAAAATGGGCAAGACCATCCTAAAAGAACTGTGAAAGACAACAGGGTCAGATTATCTCCAAAATGGTAAATCTTGTGGGGTGTTCCCAGTATGCAGTGGTAAGTACCTACTATTAGTGGTGCAAGAAAGGACAACTGGTAAACCAGTATAAGGGTCATGAGTGCACAAGTCTCATAGATGCACGTGCGAGTGAAGGCAAGCTGTGTGGCCTGATCACACATAAGAGCTACTGTAGCTCAAACTGCTAAGAAAACTTAATGCTGGCTAATATAGAAAAGTGTCAGGACACACTGTGCATCACAGATGGCTGTGCATGAGGCTACATAGCCATAGACTGTTTAGAGTGCCTATGATGACCCCTATCCACTACCGAAAGTGCCTTCAATAGGGACTTGAGCATCAGAACTTGACTAACTTGCTGATGAACACAGTTTCATAGGACATACATAGAATTCTGAAACGAGGAAGACACTCGTAGAAGGTATTTTCAACAGACACACATAGTGCTGAGCTCTACTGCTTTGTGTGTAATAATCTACCCTAGTGATTAAGCAATCAATTGCTAACCATCAACAATACATTTTTTTTTTTTTAATTTGGTAACAATGTCTTGGTGTAGTGCTGCCCTAAATTCCCCTGTAGGTGAGCGACCACTGGTTAGGAGATAGGGTAGGGTAAGCTTATGTGTGATTGTGACTTAGGTTTAGGGGGTCTGTAACACTATGGGTAGCTAACTTTGGTTGAGTTAGGGTTTTGGTAAGGCAGGATTTAAGGTTACAGGAAGTTTATAGCAAAGATGAAGGCTTGCTATCACTCACCATTTATTTCTCCTTCCAATGTGCCAGAGTAAAAAAAAAAACACAGTGCTTTCGCATTGGTGGGACATAGAAAATATATCCTTGTCTTTAACACAAAGAAATAGTTAAAGAATGCTGGGCTTAAATGGTTTTTCCTCTTACTACTATGGAAATGTCCTTGCCGGCTTATTATGTACGTATGACGTTTCTGATCTGAAATCTACAAAATATTTTTTTTGTCACAAATTATACTAGCATGTATATGTGTGTGTTGTTTTACTTTATTCATGCATAAACATATAAGAACTTCTTCCAGTTACACTGTAAATATTCTGTTGAGTGTGTATTTTATTTATTTTAATTAGTAGTGTTGGACAATTTCCTAATTGATGAGAACACCAGATTTTTGTAATATTCTAATTTATGCAAGTGAATTTCTTTCCTTCCATTTTTTTTCTACTAATGTATTTTTTAAGGTAAATAAATGACACAGTTTTTTTTCTTAATTCATTGTCATTTATGTTTATGATTGTCTGCCCTAGAATAAATACAGTAGGTTCTGTAAGTTGCTTCAACTAAAATACTACTTGAGACATTTTAGTCTCTTTTAATTAAGTGTCCATGAATATGTTTATTAATGGCAAATTTTACATCTTTGTTTTTTAGGACATAAATAAATGGATTTATTAGAGGTGTACCCACGGTATATAATAAAGATATCTGTTTCTGTAGACTGAAGGTAGGGAATAGAAAAATAACAACATAACTAAATATTCCAGAAATATAGAAAATTACTACAACAATAAGTTGAGAAGTGCATGTTGTCAACATTTTCTGCAGATTCTGAGATTTTGACATTTGACAGACTGCAAATGTGATATGGGTATAGGAAAGAGTAGTAATGCCAAATGAACTCAGTAGGACAGCTGAAGCAAAGATTGAGCATACAAGTTCAGCAAGTCCATCCCCATTGCAGGATAATCTCAAAACTGGTACTAAATCACAGAAAAAATGATCAACTTTGTTAGAGCCACAAAATGTTATTTTTGATACCATGAATATTGGGACAATAGGAGTTATGAAACCAGCAATCCATGAGCCAAGTGACAGTTTTACACACATCTTGCTGTTCATAATTGCAGTATATCGAAGTGGTTGACAAATAGCAACATAGCGGTCAAATGCCATAGATGCCAACATAAAATTCTCAGTACAAGCAAGGGAAAGAAACAAGTATAACTGTGTAAAACAAGAAAAAGATGATATTTGTGTGACATGTATTAAGTGTACTTTGATAATTGTAGGGAAAATTACTGAAATATAACATATTTCTAAGAAGGAGAATACAACCAGGAAGAAGTACATGGGTGTGTGTAGGGTCCTTTCTTCTTTAACAACAACTATAATAACAGAATTACTAAACAATGTGATAATGTAAATTGTAGAAATCATAATCACAAACACAATTAATAAATTATTTTGTATGTTAAAACCTATGATATGAAAGTCAGTTGAAAATGTATAATTTTTCATGATGATTTCATAGCCTTTTATTTTTTCTATCAATCTTTTTTTTTCTTCTTTGTTCTTCTTATGTTGATAATGGAGAAACTGAAACAAACAAGCAAAAACCAATTAAATAAAATGAATCAAAAGTATGCAGTATTTCCTACAAATCTGTAACTTCTTCATATTATTGAAGTGGATTTAGTGTTTAGAGTCTCCTACTCCCCTCCTTACATTCAGTGCTTTTACCCCTTAAGGACCAAACTTCTGGAATAAAAGGGAATCATGACGTCACACGTCATGTGTCCTCAAGGGGTTAAAGATTAAACGCTTAACAAAAAAACACATCAGCTTGTCTCCTATGTGCTGCTTGGACTAATGCGGAAGAATAGGCTGAAGTAGCAATGGGTGGCAGTGACTGATCTCTTTCAGCTGATCACCGTGTCCATTGCTAGTATGAACTGGTATGGATGAAGAGGAGTATAATCATTGGCTTAGCTATACCTCCAGTGAAGGCCAGGCTGTGTGCAGCCAAGGACCTTCATTCGGTGTTAAACTGTTCAGGAATGGAATGACAGGGGACTCCAGACACTATAAACAATTTTACGATTTGAGTTTTCAAAGTGTTCAACATCTGCCCTAATGCAGGCCATACTAATTTACTGCAATAGGGAATAATGTAGAAAAGCTCTCAGTCAATTCCATGCTCCTGCCCTCTAAACATCTAAACCTCAAAGCACTAATCATATAAAGAGACCTTGCTACAATGTTTCATTGAAAATATTTATTCATCCATAAAACATCCATGCTAGTGAATCCAGCTTCATTTCAGCACTGTAGTGCCTAAAGCTTTGACAAAGGCACTACAGTTGAAACACTCATGCGCCTTTTTATACACTAGAAATGAATTTCTCCATATCAGGACTTATGCCAGGATTTATCACCAGTTGAATTTCTAAAAATGGATTGAAAATGAAATCACTCCTCCCTCCACAGTAAAGGAACGTTTCATTAACAAACATTATTAATGTAATCTAACAAACAAGAAAACAATAATGGCTTTGATGTCATTCAAATCAATACAGAGGTTATTGCAGGTTGATATTGCGCTTTGTTAATCTCTGCATTTTACAGGTGTCATTTTGCTTCTATGCTAACTTTTAAGATACATATTGAAATATAACAGATTTTGTGTTGTTCTAACACTTCAATTCCCTCTGATATTTCTGTCAATGATGAATCAATACATTAAAAATTCAAATTATGTAACATTACAAAATTGCAAAATGTATGTAAGTAAGTAGAAGTATAGTTCAGGGTGTTGCAGTGGCTGTGAACTGTTTGGATTTTGCCAAGGCATTTGATACAGTTCCACACAATAGATTAGTGTTCAAACTCAAATAAATCAGTCTAGATGAAAATTCTTGTTCTTAGGTAGAACATTGGCTTAAAAATAGACTACAGAGAGTTGTCATTAATGGTACATTTTGAAGCTGGACAGAGGTGGCAAGTGGTGTCCCTCAGGGTTCTGTTTTGGGACCCCTTCTATTTAACATGCTTATAAATGATCTTGTAAAAAAGTAATGTTTCAGTGTTTACAGATGACACAAAACTCTGTAAAGTAATTCAATGTGAGCAAGATATTACTTTGCTGCAGAGGGATTTATATAGACTGGGCACTTAAATGGCAGATTACATTTATTGCAGAAAAATGCAAAGTTATGCACTTCGGCATAAAGAATGCACAAGCAATTTATGTAACAGGGTTGATGTTCCAAGAGGGATAAGCCAAATGGCAAATGATTTAGGTAAACTAGAAAAATGGTCAGAATTATGGCAACTGACATTTAATGTGGGTAAGTGCAAGATAATGCAACTTGGATGTAAAAACCCAAGGGCAGAGTACAGAATATTTGATAGAATCCTAATCTCAACATCTGAGGAGAGGGATTTAGGGGTGATTATTTCTGATGACTTAAAGGTAGGCAGACAATGTAATAGAGCAGCAGGAAATGCTAGCAGAATGCTTGGTTGTACAGGGAGAGGTATTAGCAGTAGAAAGAGGGACGTGCTCATGTCATTGTACAGAACACTGGTGAGACCTCACTTGGAGTATTGTACACAGTACTGGAGACCGTATCTTCAGAAGGATATTGATACCTTAGAGAGGGTTCAGAGAAGGGCTACTAAACTGGTTCATGGATTGCGGGATAAAACTTACCAGGAAAGGTTAAAGGATCTTAACATGTATAGCTTGGAGGAAAGACGAGACAGGGGGGATATGATAGAAACATTTAAATATATAAAGGGAATCAACACAGTAAAGGAGGAGACTATATTTAAAAGAAGAAAAACTACCACAACAAGAGGACATAGTCTTAAATTAGAGGGACAAAGGTTTAAAAATAATATCAGGAAGTATTACTTTCCTGAGAGGGTAGTGGATGCATGGAATAGCCTTCCAGCTGAAGTGATAGAGGTTAACACAGTAAAGGAGTTTAAGCATGCCTGGGATAGGCATAAGGCTATCCTAACCATAAGATAAGGCCAGGGATATTTAGAAAATTGGGCTGACTAGATGGGCCGAATGGTTCTTATCTGCCGTCACATTCTATGTTTCTATGTTTCTATACACTTAAAGCAAATTAGGGATAACACACGTGAAGGGAATTGTTATAGACAACAATGTGCACATGCAACAATGTGGAATGTCAATCAGCAGTGGCTAAAGCCAGTACGGTATTGTCATGCATGAAAAAGGACATTAATTCTCGGGATGAGAATATTATTTTGCCTGTTTATAAATTGCTGGCAAGATCACATCTTTAATATGCTGTGCAATTGTGGGCACCTGCTCTAAAGAAAGATATTATGGCACAAGAAAGAGTACAGAGGCGGGATGCAACGTTAATAAAAGAAATGGAACATTTTAGCTATGAAGAAAGGTTAACATATTTAAACCTCTTTAGTTTAGAAAAACGTTGCCTCAGAGGGGATATGATAACATTCTACAAACATATCCAGGGCCAATACAAACCATTGTGTGGAAATCTAGTCACAAACAGGACTTTATATAGGACACGAGATCACGTTTTTAGACTGGAAAAAAGATGTAGTCTAAGGCAAAGGAACTGTTTTTTTTTTTACTGTAAGAGCAATAAGGACGTGGAATTCTCTGCCTGAAGAAATGTTTTTTTTTGTTTTTTTTTTCAGAGTACCTACATGTTTAAACAGCAACTAGATGCATACTTGCAAAAGCAGAATAATCAAGGATATACTTTTTCAATGTAGGGTAATAGCTTCTTGATCCAATGATAAATCTGACTGCCAATCTGGGGTCAAGAAGGAATATTTTCCTAGTTTGCTGCAAAATTGGAAGTGCTTGAACTGGGGGTGTTGCCTTCTTTTGGATCAACAGCAAAAAAAACAAATGTGAGGAAGGCTGAACTTAATGAACACATGTCTCTTTTCAGCCTATGTAACTGTGTAATTATATGTATAAGTGCTGTTTTATCCAATATTTTGTACTAGCAATACATCAAATGTTTGGAATAACTATTATGCTAATATTTTTAAAACAAGGATGTTTAATAAATATCAGATAAATGTCTGACTCCGATTCTAATATGAAAAACACTCACCACATGAAGACAATATTCCTGTATTCTATGCTGTGAACATCTTGTCATTTCCACTTTATAATGATTTCCAATTTCCCCTTTATAAAGTTGTTTTAATGTCTCAGGTGAAAGACTATAAGACGTCCCAAGGGACTTAACTCCTTTAGGGCTTTGCATCTCTTCAATACTAACATAATACAAATTTGACTGACAATACAAATGTCAAGATATCATTATGCATTTAGTTTAATTTCTTGTAAAAAAAAAAAAAAGACTTCCAATGCAAAACGTGAATTTCCCATTACTTATTTTTAAAATATATACAATTTAAGAATTTTGATAAATTTAAATTCTAGTAAAATAATGTTTGCAAACCTTAATTTATAATACATGTAACATGTATGATATTATTTTGCACACCATGTTCAAATTGATTTCAGGTCCCCACCCCTTGAAATGTAATCAATATGAGACTAAATAATCCAGAAGCTGTGAACAGAAACTTACTCACATACAACATAGGTGGCAGTGTGAAGTGTTGTGATTCCTTTCCCACTTGCTACTTTTTTCTCGCTAGCATAAAGTTATGAAAGTGAGAGCCATTTTGCTACCCGCCCCACCCCCCCACCATTTATTTAAAGCAACCACATTCATAGCATAGCAACACACAATACAATTTAGTTGATACGGGTATACTTACCTTCATTTTCCCAATAAACTAAGTTTACAGTTTATAGGAATTAAATTGTATTATAAAGCTTCATTCTGTCAAAATAAATAAAAACTGAAAAAGGCAGGCCATTCTTTTCTCATCTCATACAGTAAGTGCATTTGATTTAGAAACTTTATTCGTGCATTCTAACAATTACATATACAAAATCAGTTAAAATCAACATCAGTCACAAACAGGAAAGGATATAATATAACAGTCATATTGGTAAGCAAATAGA